TGTTATCTCCATATATATTTCATTAAATGGGTATTAGAAGCTGAGGAAAGATGCAACTGAAATAATTTTTTTAAATTTTATTTTCCGCATTCAAAATTTGGTAACTTTTCTCGTATATCACAAAGATCGTTATGATAGGCATTTTATTTTCCCTATACGAAACCTTTTCCTGTCCTGTGCGTTTCCATAGCAAACATTCGTGTGGATGCGTCGCTTACTCTCTGGCGCTAGAAGTATCCGTGTTGGTACCGACACTTTTTCTTCTGTATAGGAACTGGAACACAGGGAACCGGTAGCAATGACCTTATAAAACTTAACTGGCGTTCCTTTGCTACCAGTAGATCTGAAACGGACTGCAGGACTTCCCTCAGTTCATAAATTTCTGTGTCCATTCTTCCAATGTTCTTTTCTAGGGCTTTGTTTTTCGTACCCGCGTCTGTGAGTTTGTCTTCCAGGTTTGTAACGTGCAATTTCTTTCTCTCCTTCTCGTCCTTATCATTTTTCCACGCATCTGAGTGTTTATTCTCTAGGGAAAGAAGATGTTCTTGCTGTGTATCAATTGTTTTCAAACTCCGTATTTTATCTTTTTATTAAGAGTTCTTGTGATGTTGGTTAACTGAAGACTTTGCGGATAAATAATTTATCGCAATTACAAACTCATTCTGAGATTCGATGCCGTAAAACGGTAATTCCATGGCGCACTTATGTTGAAAATTAAATTCATTCCTGAATGAATAAAATTCTGTTACATTTCAAATAAATTTTGTAAAATTTAATTTGTGACAATCATCTAGCTGCAGATCTGTAGCTCGCTAGCTGGTTTGAAAAAATTGGGATGGATCACCAGAGATTTACAGTTCCACCCATATTAAAAAGTATATATTAATTGCGTAAAAATTGCGCTTGGTTCTGGATTAATTTCTCCGAATTCTTATCTCAACTGCATCAAAGATGGATTTCAGAATGTTCCAGAGACCTCTATCAAGTACTAGTACTTGACATGTGCAAGAAGCTTGTTGGGCCGAAGAATTTTTCCACCCAAAATGGAAGAATAATTGAACGATATTTTCGATATCTCAAATTCAGGCTCAGGAGGACTATTAAATACGGTTGTAAGGACTAAGGAATGTTTTGCTGTAGAAAAATTGATTGATTGATTGATTGTATACTGTTTAACGTCCCTCTCCAGAATACTAGTATTTCAATGATATGGAGACGTCACTATTGCCGGCGAAGGGCTGCAAATTTAGGCCTTTGCTCGGCACTTATGGTCTTCGAGCAGGGAGAGATTTTTATCGTGCCACATCTACTGTGACACGGGGCCTCGGTTTATACGGTCTCATCCGAAGGACCGCCCCATTAGTCGCCTTTTACGACAAGCAAGGGGGTACTGAGGACCTTTTCTAACCCGGATCCTCATGGGGCTAGAAAAATTGAAGGAATATGCTAGAGACACACGGTAAGTAATATTTTTAGATTGTAGCAGTTGAAAAACACGGATATTGAATATAGCCTCAGTGCAGTTTTTTTTTTTTTTTGTTTTTTGTTTTTTTTTTGTGCACTATAAATACACTCTTTTTTTAATGGGCGGCACTGTAGCTCTTTCGTCTGACAATATAGCTAAATTTCTGTGAAAGTGAAAGGTTGGACATTTATATATACGATGTAGGTACTGACGGCTTTTGAGCATACGCAGAAATACCGAGAAAATGAACAATATTTCAGCCCAAAAGACAGTTTAAATCAATATACATTGTAAATCACTAGCATCACAAAGACAGACTTTTTAAAAAAAATCAGAGGTAAAATCAGTCGAATTTAATCTTTTTATGACACCACCTGCCCCGTAACGAGACAGTTGTGTGTATGCTCTTGTCGAAAGGACCGGTCTCCGCGTCTTGAATCCCCAACGTACATATAATCCATGTACTTGAATAATACATGTATGTATTGATAAGTCTTTAAGGAAATCTCATGGAGGAAACTTAGTTTATATTCTAATATTTTCTAATTTTTTTATAATTCGTATTTCTCAATTTATCATGCTCAAATTACATTTATTTATTTCTTAGGGTATTAAACCTCTTCTTCAGCCAGTCTGTCCATCTGTCATGAGAATTTTAAACTTGAAAATAACTATTGAATGAGTTGAAACAGGACTCTCATATTTCACAAGTGCATTATTTGTGAAATGTGATTTTCAAATATACTGTTATTTTTGATCCTGTGACCTTAATCTTGGAGATTGACCTACTTAAAAAAAATAACATTACATGTACTTTAAATTGACTATAACTTTTGAAAGCTTCCATTTTATAAACATGTATTACTTGTGACAACGCCTTTCAAAATTCACTATGATTTTTTACCCTTTGACCTTGAAGTTTGACTTGCTTTTTAAAAACATTAACAGTAGCAATACCCTTTGAATGAGAAGAGACTGGGCTTTTTTAACCCCTGTGTATTACCTGAGACAACACTTTTCTAAATACACTGACTTTTGACAACGTGACCTTGAGACTTGGCTTACTTTTCACAATTTTAACCTTGATCATAACTTTTGAATGAGAAGAGAAAGGGCTTTCATAATACACAAAAATCACATGCACGTTACCTGTGATAAAATCAATTCAAATACTAGTATACAGGCACGTAGCAACAGGGGGGCCTGTCTTCTCCCCCCCTTTTTATTCCCCAATCTTACCTATTCTATGGGAGATGTGTGTTGAAAGTCAAGTTGCCCCCCCCCCCTCACTATTAGTGATGTACGAAAAAAATTTAGTTTGAAATTTTAAAATTTGGTATTGAAAGTAGTTGACATTGAAAAAAAAGTTGGCCTCTTCCGCCCCCCCCCCCCCCCTTCCCCTGTCCGCAGCTCCGACGGAAGACCTACTCGTTGCTTTGCAACGAGCTGGGGTCTAGTTTTAATTAACTTTCTTTTTTCCACTTAAATTTGTGATACATGCTTTCACGGTTGGACACCGTTTTCTGTACTTTGCGAAACATTAATATACCAGAAAGTATCAATTGGAAAATACGTCACAGTGTTCTTAGGATGCAGATTTCAAGATGTTTTTACCTTTTTCAGAAACTTTGATAAGTTTTATTTGTAATATCTAATTCCCTCTACGTCAGTTATAACTGAAAATATAAATTTTTGTTTTGATCTGTACATTTTACTATCACGAAATATTTGTTAAACTTATTATTAATCATCTAAAATCATCTAAAAAGATTTTGATACCCACGTTCTTCGATGCCTTTTGTCTTCATATGTTTGGTATTATATTTCGAAGTGTCATGCTGCATTTCTTTTCTATGAAAGACTATGTGTCAAAATCTTTATGTAGCTATTATCGTTAAGGATTGTAAGGAATTAATAAAAATTACCCCACAAATACATCATTCCAGTAAATCTAATTGGGTTAAAATTTCTGAAGATTGAGCGACCAAACTTTAGTATAAGAAAAAGAAAAATGTGGTTTAATTGAAAGTTTTTATTTTAACATAAGCGATACATAAGTACAAATTAATCTGGAAGAATACGGTAATCATGAACTCGATCGGAATCTTACAAGTAGTCATTACAGAGACAACACTACAGAGACACATTAATGAAACCTGCGCTACCTGAAAATGAACGATGATTAACAGAAAATGTATGTATATATTGTGCTATTCTTTATAAAATCACTGAAAGTGGTGAAAATATCCCCTGAATGTATAAAAAAAATCATAAAGGAGTCCGAGAATCGATACATCTGAAATTCAAACAGTTCTTCTTTAAAATGTATCAAGTATTAGACAATACAAGCACAAATTCTATAGAAGTATAGAAATAACAGATCTTCAATATAATTATTTTTTTCTCCAGAGAAACTGAAGTTGTAATACTCTATAATACAAATACAAAGACCTATATTCACAATAAAATTTTAGAGACTTCTATTCTATTCTTCAATAAACCTTTCCCAACAATTCAAACCTGGCAATTTCAATTCTCAGAGTAATACATGTACAGTGTATCGTGCTATCCAAACATATGCCATTTTAGTAACACTCACTTTCAAAAAGCTTTATATCCTGTATACAACAGTCACTATACGTATATGGAGATAACGAACAATATCCAAGCTGAACCATTTATTTGAAAACAATACAATTCAGGAGCAGAGCAATCACGGCCCTCTAACACATCAGAGATGGAATTAGGTGTCATTCATGAATGAGCATCCCCTGCTAACCGGTCACACCCGCCGTGTGCTCTTTGTCAAGATCGAGAAATAAAGGAAAAATCCGTTGACAATATGGTTCATGTATACGAGTATATTACAGTCTAAAATTAGTATGAAAATGTCTGACCAGCATTTGATTTAATGATAAACTGCATTTCTGACAGTGTCAGTGTACCATCATCAGAATCAGAAAATTTTATTTAGAGTCGGATAATACAACATAAACATAAGCTCTGTAGAGCTTTTGACCGACATAGAGCTTCTGACCGACATCATAGGAAATGATGAGTTTAAACGAGACTGTTCATAAAGCTTGGTTGTTGATGTAATTATCTGTTAACGGAACACTAAAACATTTTTTCTAGCTCGGTTAATACTTGCCAGGTATCTTTCCTTCATGTTAAAGATTAAGAGTAAATGATAACAGAAAAACTCAGAACTGCTTGTAAAAACTTCTCAGAATAACGTTAATACGACGAAAAATGAAATATTCATGTGATAAAGAACAATAATACAGCTTCAAAGTCTATCATATCAATACCAATGAAGAGGAGAACAAACATAGACCTCTTAAACTTTCAGAGGTGAGATCAGGTTCCATGAAGGAGTAAGCATTCTCTGTCAACTGGTCACATCCACTGTGAGCTTCCTATTTAATTGCCTTGACGAGAAAACGGAAACATCCCTGGACAATTCAGTGTGAAAATATAATAGTATAACAATTACACTGAAGTATGAAAACGTCAGCCAGCATTCGACTATATATTAGATTGTAATTGCGACGAGGTCATCCTATCGATCATAGACCTTGCAAAACAATATTTTTGATTCATCAACTTGTTTGTTAATAACTTGCCTCGTCTTAAAAACTGTTATAAACCCTATATTAAAGTGATCAAGATGTATTACTACAAAAGGAAGGGAATTTGACGATAGGAAAGTCGAAGTCATCACGTTTATCATAAAGTCTCGTTTCTCATCTTTTTTGTAATTAGATAAAAAGGACAGAGAGCGGTGTAACTTATTTTAGAGCACACAGTTTTCTGATGTCTTTGAGGAGTTTAGAAGTCTGCCGAATCAATACAGGAGCATCAGCCAGGGCCATTCCAACAAGAAATAAGGCAATAAAGACGACTCCCACGTAACCTGTCACAGAGGCTGTCGGCCGCTCGTCGTCAGCGCTGATCTTCTTGTTCACGGTGGAGGAGAGATTCTTTGTGTTGACGCTGAGGAGGCGCTTGAGTTGAGCCAACCTTTCACTCAGTTCATAGTATTGTCTCAGCTGGTTTGTCTCATTTCTCCAGTACACGATTTTGTCCATGTAGTCACAGGAACAGGGGCACATAGCTACGAAGTAAACAAAAACTGGCACTGAAGGAAAAGAAATCAAAATGGTTTCCGTATTCGACTTGTAATTTTTAACTGTTTTGTAGTTGTACATGGACGAAGAAAATTGGTATCAAATTTTTTTCTTTAGAAACAAGTTTTAAATATGGCAATTTTTGATTCACAAAAAATATCTCAACATTTATTAAATACAGCTTCTGTTAATGAAGTTCGTTTAATCAATTTTTTTTTACTAATTTTATGAAGTCTTATACTGTTTTTACCTGTACTTTGACTATCAAAACAGCCAATACTACAAGTTTGTGAAATTGACGACTAAAATGAGGCTTATTTTTAAACATGGGAGGACTATACAGGTGTATTGGTGAAAAAAAAATAATTGCATATTGTAAATCATTGTCTTATTATGATAACTACGTAGTAGCATCAAAGCGAATTCATTTAGTCAGTCATAGCCATAGATTGTAAATTTATTTATACACTAGAAGAATATTATAACAAATATAAAACTGCGAAGTTGTTAACATGAAGAAAGAAATCATCAAAAATATCAAAATATTCAAACAAATAGGATATTTAATACATATGTCTTTTACTTTCAACAACAGGCATTGTTTCTTCTCCTGCCGTACCGGTTGGTGTTTGATCTTCCACTGACGTCACCGTGGAACTAGGGATAACATTTGTGGTTACTGTTGTTGTGGCTGGTTCTGATGTTGGTGACTGCGATGTTGTTGGATCATCTATTTTAGATTAATCTCAAATTTTA